ATGATAAACTATGTGTGCAGATTTGAATGCTTATACAGCTTCTAAAAGTAAATCAAAATATAAAAATTTGTAGTTGTTATATGATCGCTTTTTGGGAATTGATAACACATTGACGAAAAAGATCAAACAGATTGGAGAAGTATACGTAATTGATTGGCTAGTTCAGTGTGCAGTATAGATTTATCTCACCACATCAAATGGCGTTGTGAGCACTGCTGCAATTGAACCTGCAGCAGCTCCGCATGTGAACGCTGTTGCAAATGTTGTTCTTTCCATTTTCCTCCACGCTAGCATGTTTCGCTTGAAGTACTGGTAAAAAGCCCAATAAATAGCTGAAAATAATGGATTTATATTTTAGAAGATAAAGTGTATTGGGAAAAAACTTGCCAGAAAATGGAATATCCCTTAGTAATGTGGGCATCCAGCCTAGATAAAAGCCCGATATGCCATTTTTAGCTACAGTCACGCGGAGCGCTTTTCCAATATCTGCAAATTCAACCCATAATGTTCAACTAATTACAGACATATTTGAAAGCCCTTTTTCAATACCTACCCCTATAGTTCAACTGTTCGCTTTGCATCTTTGTTCGGATCATTTCCAATGGGCTAACTATAGTAGCTGCTGTTGTACGCGCGGTTGCACCCGCAACCATAGCTGCTGACCACTCGGGTGGACAAAACAATTCAGGCGTTAATGTACGTCGACAACAAAGTCTAAATGATGACCGACGCTGGTGATGGTGGGAGGGATAAAAATGAAGATGAAAGACAATAAAATATGATGTGGACAAAAAAGCGATAAACTCACTTTTTCGTAAACATTGAATATAAGGTATCGTATAGAGAGTAGTAAAAGACAGTAGCCGGAATAGCCATGACTCTGGAATAAACCACTTCGCATTTGAATGATGCTCTAATTCTTTTGGTTGAAACTCAATCAACGAATATTTGGACGTACAGTGTGGGAGACAAGCCGCTCCACAGTGATCGGATACCTTCTGTTCGTGTAATTTTTACAAAAGCATCCTAAAAGTCCCGCAGTCAATGATTAGCACGAAAGGAGAACGAC